TGAGTATATCAAGCCTACCTGGCACTGGAGGCTGTTGCTGGGAGGTCAGGTAGCCATTTTGTGCAGCATGGTCTGCTGCTTAGCAGTGGGGGCGCAGCTTGGTGGGAGGTGGAGCTTACGGCGTGGGGGCGGATCCTTTGTCCCTGAGGCGGAATAGGAGCCTGTTTGCCGGGGAAGCTGCTGGGAAATCGGGAGCCTGTCAGTGCTCCCTCAGGCCCCAGCACCTCTCTATTGCCCCCAGGAGCTCTGTCCTGAATTCCCTCGGAATATATTGGGCTCAGGGGCGGACTGACAACTTACAGGGCCCTCGGGCAATGGGAGACTGTTGCGGAGCTGCAATTTTATAATCCCAGGATCTCTGCTGGTAGAATGCAATAACCAAGTACAAAGCTGGAAGCAGGCAATATTCCCAAATCCTCCCAAGAACCAGACGAAACACAGTCTGAGAGTCAACTGCCACTTTATTCAAAAAGACTGATATTTAAAGCAGGTCACTCAACTGTCACTTTATTAAAAATAACTGATATTTAAAGCAGGTCACTCAACAGGGGTTTCCAAAGATGGGCAGCAGGGGTTTTGGTTGAGGGGACTGGAGGGAGACTACCGTTTCCAGGTCCTCCTCCCAACAGCCCCTGCTGTAACATACAGTAATGAAAACTACGAGGACATAAACCGTTACCTTTCTACTTCAAAATATACAACTTAGTCAGTTTTAATAGCAATGCTAACGAATGGGGAGGATTCGAACAGACATACACAGTACAGCATAAATTAAACATAGCCGGAGACGCCACACTATACCGGCGTGCAGTTCACAACAGAAAATAGGCACAACCATTCTATCTTAGGCAGTCCCAAGTGGCTAGGTTTGCCACAGAGACCAAGGGCCCCCTTCTGGTGCAATGTTTTTTAGATACTACTACTTTTCTCCCCCTTCTTTGTGTGGCTCTCACACAGATATTATATGCATGCTGCCCTGCACCCATAATGGCTGTGTGAGAACCACACAGTCATGACTCCCACAAGGTTTTGCTTTTAAGAGGTTAATCCAACCAAAAACAGTGTTTTTATAAAACACTGTTTTTGACAAGAGTAACCCTGACTGGCATTCTTCGACCCCCCTATTCCCAATAAAATAAACAAATAAAGCCAATATAATAATTACATGCTTTCTCTGTGTTTGCTGGTGACATCACAAGCAGCATCCCCCACATTTGTTTTCAATCATACAAGTCCATGTAAGTAGCCCCCAAACATGTGTTTGTAGGCTACATGTGAGGTTCAGTGTGTGGGATGCTGCTTGTGATGTTGGGTTCCTGTATGTCAACGTGTTGTGTTTGTCTTCTTTTACCTATTGTACTGCGCTGCAGAATATGTTGGTGCTATATAAATGGTTTTAAAAATTGTGTGTTTGTGGTTTTCCATGTGTGGGGATGTTGCTTGCTGGAATGTGTGCATACAGTGAGGCTCCTGGTGGGTTTGCGTGTGTGTATGAGGCTGTTTGCAGTGTAGTATGTGGGTGGAAATGGCTAGTTGTGTTGCAGTGTGTGGTAGAGGCTGTTGTATGTGTGTGGGATGGGCTGTAGTTTGTGTTTGTATGAATAATAGAGGCTCAACTGTGTAGGGGATATAAAGGCTGCAGTTTGAGTGTGTGGATAGTGGCTGCAGTGTGTGGGATATGGGCTGTAGTAGGTGCAGAGGGACTTTAGTAGCTGCATGGGGGTATAGTGGCAGAGGTGGTTGCTGGGGGAGATGGGAGCTGAGGTGGGTGGAAGGGGGTGGGTGCTGTGGGCTGTGGTAGGTGCTGGGAGAGATGGGTCTGAGGTGGGTGCTGGAGGTGAAGGGTGGGGCTGGGGGAGATAGAATTGTATTGGGGGTCTACAGACCTGCTGCTCCTCAGCTTCAGCCGCTCAGCAGATTCAGGAGGAGAGGAGGAGTTCTGGAAGTGATGTCACTTCCTCTCTCCCAGGCCCCGCCCCCTCCCCTCACACAGAGCTCCGCACAGAGAGGATGGAGGAGACCTGGCAGCAGCAGGATTGCTGCCAAGTCTCACTCAGTAGGTGAGAGGACACATTGGGGCAACAAATCCTGTGTAACTGTGCCTCTCTGGCTGGGGAGATCTCTGAGTGAGTGCATGGCTGTTTAACTGGCCGGGCCCCTGACTGCCTCGGGCCCTCGGTCATTGACCGATCTGCCCGAGTGGTCAGTCTGCCCCTGAATGGGCTGTTACAGTCTGAGGGAAAATAATAAAAGCACATGGCTCTGCAACTTGCCGGGACAGACTCCAGCTTGCCGAGACTGTCCCAGTAGAGTAAATTGCCAGAGACAGACTCCAGCTTGCCGGGACTGTCCCAGTAGAGTAAATTGCCAGAGACAGACTCCAGCTTGCCGGGACTGTCCCGGGAGAGTAAATTGCCAGAGACAGACTCCAGCTTGCCGGGACTGTCCCGCGAGAGTAAATTGCCAGAGACAGACTCCAGCTTGACGGGACCGTCCCAGGAGAGTAAATTGCCCGGGACAGACTCCAGCTTGCCGGGACTGTCCCAGGAGAGTAAATTGCCCGGGACAGACTCCAGCTTGACGGGACTGTCCCAGGAGAGTAAATTGCCAGGACAGACTCCAGCTTGACGGGACTGTCCCAGGACAGTAAATTGCCAGAGACAGACTCCAGCTTGCCGGGACTGTCCCAGGAGAGTAAATTGCCAGAGACAGACTCCAGCTTGCCGGGACTGTCCCGGGAGAGTAAATTGCCAGAGACAGACTCCAGCTTGACGGGACCGTCCCAGGAGAGTAAATTGCCCGCGACAGACTCCAGCTTGACGGGACTGTCCCAGGAAAGTAAATTGCCCGGGACAGACTCCAGCTTGACGGGACTGTCCCAGGACAGTAAATTGCCAGAGACAGACTCCAGCTTGACGGGACTGTCCCAGGAGAGTAAATTGCCCGGGACAGACTCCAGCTTGTCGGGACTGTCCCTGGAGAGTAAATTGCCAGAGAGAGACTCCAGCTTGACGGTACTGTCCCAGGAGAGTAAATTGCCCGGGACAGACTCCAGCTTGACGGGACTGTCCCGGGAGAGTAAATTGCCCGGGACAGACTCCAGCTTGCCGGGACTGTCACAGGAGAGTAAATTGCCCGGGACAGACTCCAGCTTGCCGGGACTGTCCCGGGAGAGTAAATTGCCAGAGACAGACTCCAGCTTGCCGGGACTGTCCCGGGAGAGTAAATTGCCCGGGACAGACTCCAGCTTGCCGGGACTGTCCCGGGAGAGTAAATTGCCAGAGACAGACTCCAGCTTGCCGGGAATGTCCCGGGAGAGTAAATTGCCCGGGACAGACTCCAGCTTGCCGGGACTGTGCCGGCATAAACGGGACACATGGTAACTAGTAAAATATTTGATGCTCTGTGGCCAGTGCCGGTATTGCAAAAATTGCCAGTGTTTTTCTTTGAAGAGAATGTGCTGCAATATCGGCACCGGCCAGTGCTCTAAGGCCGTGCTAGGAAAACTGGTTGGTGCTAAAGCTGTGTGGAGAGGGCTGAGATGTTGCAGCATATCTCTGCCCTCTCCACTAATAGACTCTGCATTGGAGGAGTGGGAGGAGCTACAGGGCAAGGAGATAGAAGCATGGCAGTAGGAGCTGAGTCTTGAGAGCAGGTACTTGTGAGTGTGTACGCAGCAGTTTGGGTGTGTGTGTATTCAGCAGGGCCCCTGACACAGCACAAGGTCTGGGCCCTCCCCGCCCACAGGACTCCTACCTAGTCCGCTGCAAATGATGCAGGGCTGAATGTGGTGTGTATAGTGGAAGTGAATTAGAATGTGTGTAATGGAAGTAATGTTTGTGTGTATTAGATACTGTTTGTGCAGTGAATGCAGAGTGTGTGTTTGTGTAGCAAATGCAGTGTGTATAGTGAATGCAGAGTGTGTTTGAGTAGTGGATGTAGTGTGTGTTTGTTTAATGGATGTAGTGTTTGTGTGTACTAGATGCAATGTGTTTAGTGGATGCAGTGTCTGTAGTGGATGTAGTGTGTGTATTAGACACAGTGTCTCTGTATAGTGAATGCAGAGTGTTTGAATGTGTGGTGGATGGAGTGTGTGTACTGTGAATGCAGGATGTTTGTGCAGTGGATGCTGTGTGTATAGTTAATGCAGAGTGTGTGTCAGTGTAGTGGATGCAGAGTGTGTGTGTTAGTGTAGTGAATGCAGAGTGTGTGTGTGTGTTAGTGTAGTGAATGTAGAGTGTGTGTTAGTGTAGTGAATACAGAGTGTGTGTGTATGTTATTGTAGAAAAAACGGCAAGCTGGAGTCTGTCTCTGGCAATTTACTCTCCTGAGGTACTTTACACACTCATACAGACACTCATACAGTACACACTCATACAGACAGTACACACACTGCCTCACATTCGCAATGCTATACACACAGTCAGGCAAAGTACAAACATTGTAAGTAGTTTATTAGTGATTTAGGGAATTTTCTCCTTCCAAATGTTCTCATTCTTGTATGTAGGCCGTGCCCTGTGATGTCACGCATGTATAATTATTTATGCAAGTTAGAATGGCCAGTATTTTTTTCCAAAATAGGTGGAAACCCTAAGTACAGTGGTGCCACACATTCCAAATAAGGTTCCATTTTTTTGCTGAGGTATTGTTGTGGGGATTGGGGAGAATTGGGCACATTGAGGGCTACAGTCCTTTATGTGGAGTTATTAGGCCCCAGATGTCTACAGGTGATAGAAAGGCTGGTCAGCTTGGCAGGATGGTGTTGCTGGGAAGAGGGGATTCACTGTACCCCCTTTTCATTTCTTAACTAGTGTGGCTAAGACTGGATTGCATTAAAAACCTGGCAATGTCGCATTTTTCTAGTTTCCAGCAATTATTCTTGTTTGACATCCCAGCTCACATAGTTGGGAAGGTTTGTGTACAGAGATGAGATATGGCTCCTAGGGTGGAGCTATAAGGTAGGGGTCATTGGGTTTTATTTTAGGCACAAGCCCCTGGTGTTTCTAGAAACTAGCAACGTCCCTCCCTGCCTCTTCGAAAAACGCAATTTCCCACGATGATGGCATTACATAAAGTATTGTATCCGTAAAGAGGGCAGAAAGGAACACTCCCAGAGCTAAGTTTTACCGACAACTGTTGCACTGAGTAATAAGTGACATGGGTGAGGATGAAGAACATTCTAAGCACAGCAAAACAGGTTATTCAATAAGGTGTGAATTGCCAGGAATTCAAACTGAAGTGAAACAAATATGTCAAAATAGATTAATAGGAAATAGAGCTGACTTGGAGAGTCTTTTCCAATTCAGGTACGTTGGTCTAAAGTTTGAAATTCACTTTACATTCCTAAAAACACACACTTTAGTGAGTAATCCTGCATGTGGCTGTGCATGTAAGGGAGAGCGAGATGAGGTAGGATACACTTGGCCCTGCACGTGTTTCAATGAGTGGGCGGCAGGTAACAAAATACAGAAAAAACAAGTCTCTTTTGTAACTTGATTCTAGGAGTGTGCAGAACCATACCCAGGTAATCAGTAACCAGACGGGATCATCCGATGAGACAAGAGGTGGTGTGATGTGAGCTCCTCCTCACCCCAATTCTGACTACAAACTGCAATCTTTGTTAAAAGTCTATCCTTTTTGTAACGTTCTCTCTCTGGATTTTTGGGGGCACTCTCAGTCCTTCCCTGGTCCCTTTAATTCCCTTTCACTCAAATCCCACTCTTTACAACCTCTCTGCATTTTTCTCTCTCTTTGTGTTGTCTCTAATTTGGCCATCGTTACTATATTTCATCCAATCTTCTTTGTCGCAAGACCTCATCATGAAGGCGATTGCCCCTCTTCTGCTCTTAATCTGCTGTTCACTGCTGGCTCCCCGAGGGATTAAAGGCGATGAAGAGGATTATGGAGAAGAAATGGTCCTCTCCTTTGCTCAGCAAGAAGAAATACAGATAGAACCCGACAAAGTGTCAGCTCCTGGGGTTTTCTATTGGAGCAATAAGGTAACTTCTTTTTTTTAAATTATTATTATTATTATAAGAGTTGTCAATTGCGGAACATGAAAAACTAGGTTTTGAGAAACTGAAGGTAATAGCAAATGTTATTAATTATTTACCTACCTTTTTTAGCAGTGTCAATTATAGGTTTTTAAGGGCCCTCACAGAAAAGAGCCAAATGAGACCCCCATCTCATTATACACAAATTAAAGGATCACTATAGTGTCAGGAAAACATAGCGGTTTTCCTGACACTATAGTGCCCTGAGGGTGCCCCCACCCGTGGCGCTGAAGGGGTTAAAACCCATTCAGCAGCTTACCTTATTCCAGCGCCAAGGGACCTCTCTTCCCCCGCCGACATCATCTCCCTGGACATCCATTGAGGTTTCAGGAAGTTAAACTCTGTGAAACTGCAGGAAGTGCCATTAGTAGAGGCAGTCTTAAACCTGCAATGTAAACATTGCAGTTTCTCTAAAACTGCAATGTTTTACACTGCAGGACTATGTGGGACTTGGACACTGCACCCAGACCATTTCAGTGAGAGAGTCTTGTTGCCTATAGTGTCCCTTTAAACCCTTAAGGACCAAACTTCTGGAATAAAAGGGAATCATGACATGTCACAAATGTCATGTGTCCTTAAGGGGTTAAAGATACTGTAAGAAGAATAAGGATCATTTCCCCTTAATCTTTATCCTTTTTTATTATTATTCTGCATTCTGTTATGTTCATACACTCACTTTACTAACAGTAAATATACTAAATCAGCACCTTCCTGTTCTGCAAATTAGGAAGTTTAACCTTTTCAGTGCAAACGCTATTCATCTATGTCATGGTAGAAGGACACACCTATCTTTCCTGAACCACTGCATATTTTAGAATGCAGCCCTTCCTGTACCAAGGCTGTACTAGGCCTCCTTCTACCAAAGTTGCACCACCAAGGCTGTGCCAGCCCTCCCTGTACCACAGCTGCACAAGGCTAGCAGTCCCTGTACCAGGTCAGCCCTCCCTGTACCAAGGCTGTACAAGGTTAGCCCTCCTTGTACCAAGGATGCCCCAGCCCTTCCTGTAATGCAAGGATTCACACCTTTTTGGAAGCCTGGTCTGTCATGCTCTGTACCAAAGATGGAGTCTTGGGGTAACTGTAATATTGTCTCATTGTTCTTATCCCTGAAGACAGAGACCCCAAGATGAGAACTGACCATGTCTGTTTTGCAGGATGCATGGAGGATTGCGGGTCAGTATATAGTGGTGCTGAAAGCTAATGTTCACAAATCTCAGACAGAGAGAGTCATACGGCGCCTGCAGACAAGAGCAGCCAAGCATGGCTATCTGACGAAAATTGTCCATGTGTTCCACGAGCTTTTCCGGGGGTTTGTGGTCAAGATGAGCAGTGATATGTTGGAGATGGTAAGTGTCTCATTTTTGGCAATGAAAGTTCTGCAATAGATATTACGTCTATTATACTTTGCATCTTTTATCTGCTCTACGCTATGCTTTAGCACGTCTCAAGTGTGCGGGCAAACTTGTGCGAGAACTCACTTCAACCAAATTATTGAACTCTGCATCATAACCAGTTAACAATTAAGGTGGCTGTGATGGAAATAAAAGGAAATGTAACTGTAGTTTTGTAGCAGTAATGAATATTGGATGCCTCATGTCTGTGAACCCTATAATTGCCTTAGAGCATTGCATGTGACTATGGTGCCAGTTCATACGATACATCATCTTTATCCAGCATGATTCATTTAGTATTAAGCCCTGTAGGTCTATGCTTTGCCCATCTGTTCATTGATTTCCTTATTCTAACTTCGATACCGATTGCCTCTATTTTCTTTCTGCTGATTTGTAATATAAATACTGAACTGAACCTTTAACTAAACTAAACTGACTCCATTCCACATCCAGGCGCTGAAATTGCCCCATGTGGATTACATTGAGGAAGATTCGTATGTTTTTGCTCAGACTATTCCATGGAATCTAGATCGGATCATTCCTTCACAGCACGTGGCCAGCAACTTCAACCCTCCAAGTAAGGACGCATATTATTTTGGTTTGCATTTCTGAGCTTGTCCCAGCTATCTGTCTGTCTTAAAGGGTTACTCCAAGCGTATTAACCAATAAAGCCTGCTGTAGTGATTATGGTGCCAGGAGTATTCTGACTCCATTACCAGGAATGAGGAAAACTGTTTTACAAGCTCCTGATCTCCTATCTAGCGAGTGACAACATCCAGCTCCATCAGACATACAGAAGCCAGGCTATACAGACGCTGCACAGAAAGACTCCAAGCACCATGACAACTTCAAATTACTGAGGTGGTCATGGTTCTGGATTAACCTTTTAACATAGTGACTTTTATTCATATTGTATAGTCATCGTATACCAGCAGTGGTTAACATGGGTAGATGAGTTGGGGGGGAAAATTTAAGTAAGTATTTTTTCCCCAGATTGGCTAGTTTGACTTAAAATTTGCAATTTCTTGTCTGTTCCCCCAAATTTACAGTTTAGAGAAAATCGAAATGGATATTGCAGATTTTAGCACAATAGCTGAAATGGAAAGGAAAAAAAATCTCCTACTCGGATATCTTTCAAGCTCAGCCATTATGACCTAAAATAGATGGTGTCAGAGGACTCCAGGCACCATAACCACTTAACTGAAGCAGTCCTGAAATTAGAACATTGTCTGACATCAGAAGTACACAAACTGAACTTATGGTATTCAGCAAATATGATGGCACTTCAATTGTGATCTTCCCATGGGCTATCCTGAGTGGCAGTCTGGTCGCTGGAAGGCTGCTTGACAAGTATACACTGAGAGAGATGAGGAAGAAATTACTTTTTAACTTGGTTCTTAGATACATGTGATTTAGAAATGTTGACCTGAGGCTTTCCATATATTACTAGACAACAATACTCATAATTCTCTTCCACCAATAGGAATGCAAAACCTGGAACTTTGGTCCAGCAATGTATGAGGGCATTCTGACATCCATGAGCTAATAAATAAACAAACTTTTCTGTGTTTTTTGCTTAGACACCGGAGACTTGGTAGAGGTTTATCTGTTGGATACCAGCATCCACAGCAATCACAGAGAAATTGAGGGGAAGGTTTTTGTGACCGACTTTGAAAATGTTCCAGAAGAAGATGGAACGCGATTCCACAGACAGGTTAACAACTCTAATTCTCTTGTAGAGCAAGAATATCAAAACTATCTAGATTACCGATTTATCAATTAATTTACAGTTGCAAGAAAAAGTATATGAACCCTTTGGAATGATATGGATTTCTGCACAAATTGGTCATAAAATGTGATCTGATCATCATCTAACTAGGTCTTCTGAGAGCTCTTTTGTGCAAGGCATCATTCACATCAGGCAATGCTTCTTGTGAAAAGCAAACCCAGAACTGGTGTGTGTTTTTTATAGGGCAGGGCAGCTGTAACCAACACCTCCAATCTCATCTCATTGATTGGACTCCAGTTGGCTGACATCTCACTCCAATTAGCTCTTGGAGATGTCATTAGTCTAGGGGTTCACATACTTTTTCCACCTGCACTGTGAATGTTTACATGGTGTGTTCAATAAAAACATGGCAACATTTCATTCTTTGTGTGTTATTAGTTTAAGCAGACTGTGATTGTCTATTGTTGTGACTTAGATGATGATCAGATCACATTTTATGACCAATTTGTTCAAAAATCCATATCATTCCAAAGGGTTCACATACTTTTTCTTGCAACTGTATGTTGTGTATAAAGTGTATGTGTGTGTATATATATATATACACAAAAGATAGTTAGCTTGGCACTCACCCTTTCTCCACTTGAGTAGGTTCACGTATGCCTTGGTGCGATCCCACGTTGTAGAATGTATATGGATGAGTAAGAGATGCACTCTGAGGTCTTTTTAAACAAATAAATTAGTATTTATTCCAAATAGAGTTACTACATGTAATCCCATCGACTGGTCGAAACGTCGATCGGATGACATGTAGTACCTCTATTTGGAATAAAATGCATCTCTTACTCATCTATATATAGATGTGTATATATCTATATATTGCCTTGCAAAAGTATTCATACTTCTTGAAAATGAAAAAACATATTTGCTCTAATAGTATCTAATAGTACCTGAGTACGATATAAAGAAAAACTGAAATATGCTGTTTATATAAAGGAACACTATAGTGTAAGGAACACAAAGCTGTATTTCTAACACTGTAGTTTTCCTGTGCCCCCTCCCCCACAGTGGCCTTTTAAAACACTCACCTTATTTGAGTGCTGAGGTCCATCGGCGCTGGCTCCGTCTCTGCCTCTTCTGACATCCATGCCGAGGGGAACCCCATTGCGAGTTCACGGCAAAGTCTGTGCATGCATTAGGCCTTCCCCATGGGACAGCATTAAATCAATACTTCCCTATAGGGGATTTGGAGACTCTGGATGTTCTCATGAACATTGTGAGTAGTCCAGCATCGTTTCGTGGAAATAATCTCTGTGAAACAGCAGAAAGCGCCTTTAGTGGCTGTCTCGTACTGCAACCGCAATGTTTTAGATTGCAGGTTTAAGGGCACTGGGCCACTGCACCCAGACCACTTCAAATTAAGTATTCAGTCCTTCATATTAATATTTAGTAGCATTGCCTATTGCTGTAATAGCAGCTTGAGGCCTTTGGGGCTGGTATCTTCTGGGCTTGCAGACTGGCTTGGAGTCATTTTTGCCAAAACGTCCTGCTGATTTGCTCCAGGTGGTTCAGGTTGGTTATGTAGACTGCAATGTTCAAATAGTGTCAAAGATCCTTAGCTGGGATTTGAAAGCGTATTCAAGGTTGTTCAGTGAAGTGAGAATTCAAAGTAAATTCATAGAAAATTTCATATTGAAGGCGAACTGGAAACCTAGCTAATTGACTTGACAGAATGTAATAGTTTTATTTAAAAACACCTCACCTAGGCAAAAAAAAGATGGGGGTTTAGTTACATTATATGATCATATATTGCATAAGCCTGCCACAACGTCCCCCAATGTACCCCATTCTTGGCAGTTCCCACTCTAGCAGCCTAATAAATCGATGTTTCGACCCAATTTGGGTCTTTCTCAAGATCTTTCTTGTGACTTTATGAAAGACCCAAATTGGGTTGGAACGCTGATTTATTTTTGTACACAGCAACTATGGATATTTGAGTTACATTAAAGCACCAAAGTTTGTTTTGTGAGACCTGTGAGTGCAGCCTATTTCTGTATTTTTATATAATCAACGTGTTTTTTTGTACCCAGGCAAGTAATATTCTTATACACACACACACACACACAATACACAAGATCCAGCGCACTCACTCATACACTAAACAGCAACATGCAAGCTCACAGATGCAAGCACACCTAATCTAGGCAAAAACAATGGGGGTTTAGTTACAGTATATGATCAAACAATGCAATATGGTTTTATATATAAACACACACACATTTTTGTGTTAAGGAAATGTTTTATATGAACTTTGCTTGAAGTATTCAACATTGTGGCTCTTTGGGGCATATAAGGCTTTTACAAACAATAATAAATATTGTAATATTTTCACCTAATTAAAATGTCTCTTTGTGGCAGGCCAGCAAATGTGAGAGCCACGGGACACACATGGCCGGCGTGGTGAGTGGTAGGGATGCCGGTGTAGCTAAAGGAGTCAATTTGCGAAGTCTCAGAGTACTAAATTGTCAAGGCAAAGGCACTGTGATTGGAAGTCTGACAGGCAAGTATTGGCGTTTGGTATAGATTGTGGAAAAGCATGCTTACAGCACAAGTGGTTCAGGTTTGTCTGTATAGTGCCACAAACCCGCCAGAGCTGTAGAACTTTTCTGATTAACATGTAATTACCCTTTGCACTGTGTTCTCCAAAACCCCTGTTTATTTAACAAATTAACAAAGTGGAAGGGATGCATTGAAATCTTTAAAACGGCACTTTGCATAGTTTGCAGACCCCGATGGTGACAACTCCGCTGGGGGTCAGGTGGCCGGGGTGCCGGCAAAAGTGAGTTTTCCTTACGTGAACCTGCCCCTCCCGGGTGCTGCCATTTTCTTCCAGCCAGTCCTCTTGTTGGTCACTGCTGTACTCTCGCGCAGGCAGTGATCAGTAGTCAATGTATGTACAATCAGCTCACAGAGAAGGAAGGTGATCTGCGGTCATTGTAATTAGAGAAACCAGGGTCATTATAGGTCGTAAAATGAATACCTTGCCAGTGTAATTGCTGAGCTGGCAGTACAATGCCCCTTTGCTTTCTTGGTATACTGCCCAGGCTGTTCTGTGGATTTAGTGACGCTTGGGGCAGTGTAATTTCTATTTTCTTTTTGCTTATTTTTAGCATTTTATGTATATAGAACCGAAACTGTAATTTAGAAAGTGTTAATGAAAACAAATTGAGTTTTCAGCTTTAATATAAGATAACATACATGCTGCTAGACATATTATATCAAAAAAAGAATATGGTGATTCCTATACAAAATGGGGTGGGAGCATATCACAAACAGCTTAGAAAAGGAGTCCAAAATTGCAACTGTCCTATCCACTTTGAACATTAGGGAGGTATACCTCCATTAACTGTTTGGGGTTTATTCACTTAACTTGAAAATGTGGAGAACTGATTTTTAAAAAAAATGGTCAATTTGGGGAATTTTTTTTAGCTGATTTGTAAAATAGAATATTTTGGCCTATAATTTGCAATCCCATGTGTCAATTCTCCACAATCCACATTTATTGAACAAACTCTCTTGAATCCATTGTGATCAAACACAGAGTAATGCTTCCCTAAAACGAAATCACTGTTCAAAATGTTTTGTTTTATCATCAGGCCTAGAGTTTATCAGAAAGACATTAATTTCGCAGCCATACAATCCTCTGATCATCCTGATCCCATTTGTTGGAGGATACAGCCAAACACTTAATGCAGCAAGTCGAGCTTTGGTTAAGTCAGGAGCGGTGATAATTGCAGCGGCTGGAAACTACAAAGATGATGCCTGCTTGTATTCGCCTGCTTCGGAACCCGAGGTATATTACATCAAAATATAACGAAATAGAAATATATTTAAAAATCCTCGCCTTTGTAATAAAGCCGGGAGGTCCATCCTAACTAGAAAGTTTAAGAAGCTACTGCTCCACGTTGAAGATACACAGAGTAGATCTACATTTATATCCAGAAAAGCGCTATATGTGCATATTGTTTGTTTTAAAGGGTGCGATATGTCAACTACTCTTTAATTTAAAGTGCACCTCTGACTTCCAACGAAGATTTTACTCATATTTTTAATTTCTACTTTTTATCGAATAGGGACTTTAAGTCCTTTTGTGAAAACTACCAACCAGAATCTTGGCGAATGAGTGGGTGGATTTTTGACGCTTTTATTGCCTTAATGCTACTTAAGCAACAATTGACTTCAGGTTGTGCAAAATAAAATATCCACCTCTGAATTATATTCAGCAGCACACGGAATAGTCCAAAATATAGTAAAATGGTTGTATAGAGCTGGGTAATTGGTCCCTTCTTCTAAACCATATAATACAAGATTATTAGTGTGTGAAAAAAAAAATACAGGGAACAATATGTCAAGGAAGGGGAAGGTGAAACACAAAGAAGAAAGCAAATGCAACGCAGAACTTACTGCTAGCTGTGAACCATTCTATAAAAAGGAGATGTAAATGATTGAAAAATCCACTTGATTACATATGAGAGAGAGAAATGGATTGCATATATTAAAGATATGTTCTAAATGGAAGCAGGGTGCTAATTGTGAATCGATCAAAATAGCCACTTTTGGAACGTGCAAGCTGATTTTTTTAAATTTAGCACAATTCTCCAGAACTGTCTCAACTTCTCCTTGATGAATATGGTTTAATTCTGTGGATTTCTATGGACTTCCAATGAATGCAGTATAATCATAGTCATTATGTAAATAAAAGTAGTCATTATGGTACTTACCTGGTCCCGTTCGCAGGTATTGCACACTAACATCTGGATTTCATCAACTTACAGGTTATCACTGTTGGAGCCACCAACTACCAGGACCAGCCAGTAACTTTAGGTACCCTTGGAACCAATTTTGGCAACTGTATTGACATATTTGCACCAGGTGATGATATAATTGGGGCGTCCAGTGACTGCACGACTTGCTTTACATCCCAAAGTGGAACGTCTCAAGCAGCAGCCCACGTGGCAGGTATAAATTGAAAAAAATACGCAATATATGCATTTTTAACCAATTAGTTTTCAGATATTTAGCCCAGTCTCAGTGGTATTATGTTAAGAATCATTATGCAATATCTAATTATCTTCCACAGTGTAGTCTAAACTTCAGCCTGTCCAAACGCAACCAAACTGTTTAAATTGGAATCGAATTATAAATACCCAGAAACTGCATAGAATAAATCTGTACTATGGGTCTGCTGCCACTACTAGCAGACATCAGGCAAATTGTTTAAAAACATGTATCTGACTTGGAAAATAGATTTAGTTCTAGATGGTGAAAGCCCAGAAGTTGTGACATACAGGATAAAATCCCTCACAACTGGAGGTGATAAAATACCCATAATGCAATGTTTAAACATGCTCCCATGTGCTAGGTCTTCCTCTAGATTCCTAAGATTTTTATGTAGCCGAACAGAGGTTAAAACTAAACAAGCACAACCCAAGGCACTGACAGCCAATGAAGGGCTTTGCCAGCTCTCACCATCTGTAGATTAATTTATCAGGTAAGAAGCAAATGTCGTTTTTCTTCCTCGTTATGTAGTGCACAAGAGTCATGACATACAGGATCATATAGCCAAACAGTGCAAGATACAAGGCCACCTTAAAATGAAGAGTGGGGACAGACGGTGACTAAACATAAACAACTGCCCAGAGCACCTTCCTGTCAAAAGCAGTGTCATCGGATGCAAAGATATAAACAATAACATTTGTAAAACACATGCAATGACAACCAAGTGGCTGCCTTGACGATTTGGTCTGTTGAAGCCTCATGATGAAAAGTCCACAAGGTAGCTACTTCCTGAGTGAAAAAGGCAGTGACCGTATCCTGGGGAGTCTTATTAGCCAGACAGAAGGCTTCCTGATCATTCATGGCATCTGCCACACAGGACAAGATGAGACAAGTGCCCCTCCTCCAGCAATTTCCTTTAGGTGGGGCATAAGTGTGACAATGATGAAACACATTACGGCTTTGCCACCCTGAAAATGTTTCTGAATGCAACATTGAGATCATGGACTTGAGCCAAAAGCAGAGCAGATAAACAACATCCCCTGATAGTAGCTATGCACCAAACTTGGCACTCTGTCAGACGCAAGTACACACCACGAACAAACCCTGGCCTTTGACCCCTCTGTTATGCAACCCACCTTTTCCTACCGGTCTTGCCAGCAACTCTATTGTCTATCTGTAGATAGCTTTCCCTATTTATCTGCACATACTACTCATGACTTTGAGATATTCCCAGACTACCAAACCGCTGCTCTAACCTCTGTGCACAGGCTTATTTGCAAAGGCTGTGCATTTTTGGTGATAAACTAGAAAGGGTATTTCTGTCATCAATCAATTATTGATTGACGACAATTCTCCAATTCAGTTCTTATGCCGACTCTGCTAATTAGGCCTATTTATACAATGTTGGTGTCGATCATCACAATTCACTTTTCAATAAAAAGCATTTAACTTGTCAGAGCAGTGAATAAAGGAGGTGTCCTTGAAAGGGTGAGTTTAACTATCGGTCAAACATATGTTGGTAAATAGTTCTTTTTAGTTTTTTTTTATGGCTGACCACTTCATAATGCACATTCAATGAAATCCCCAGGTTTACTAATGTTTTCTCTCAGGTATTGCAGCCATGATAATGAACAACAAGCAAGACTTGACTGTATCAGAACTGAGGCAGAGACTGATACATTATTCTACCAAAAAGGTCATCAATGAAGTTTGGTTTCCTGAAGATCAGAGGCTGATTACTCCGAACCGTGTTGCAGGGCTCCCTGTGAAACTGGTACCAGGTAGGTTTCACAAACTATTCGATTTCAGCCATAATCAGATATTTATATGTATTTGTTAGTTCATCATCAAGTGCAATTGCCATTTATCGCAATTCTGCCCTGGGTTACTCTATTAATGCTGCTTAAAATAGGCCTACATAACATTCCAAGAACATCGCAAATATTGATCATCATTTCTCCCAACACAAGATCAAAGGCTGGCATTACGGGCAAAGTAGTTGTCAAGGGTAGGTAGCACTGTTCTAATAAATACTTGAATCTATGTACTGAATGACGTCTTCTCGTGTATGAACAGCTATGAGTAGGTTATATAACTAAGTAATGTCAGCTAGCATGTAACTGAATAGACAAACCCTCTGACATTTCCCCTAAAATAAATGTGTCCCTCTTTAGCCCTATGAAATGCAGTGAGATATGTCTTGTGAGTCTCTGAGTGTGCTTGGCCATAGGACAATCATTCTTTTTCTCCCATGAAAAAGATGGAAGGCTGGTAGGACAGCTGAGCTGCAAACTTAGGTGTGGTTCCATTTAGATGCACAACTCTGCAATTCAAATTCAATTTCTACAATTCATGCAGTTAAGAGAATGAGAATGATGCTTCAAGTTAACATTCAAATCAAAAATACATTTAAACTTTATATTTTTGGTTTCAGATGAGGAACTGTTTTGTCGAACAGTTTGGTCAAAACCATCTGGATTTGCTCGTAATGCAAAAACATCTGCTCAGTGCAGTGGGAATGAAGAAATGTTTAGTTGCTCGAGTTTCTCCCGAAATGGGAAGAGGAAAGGGGAACATATAGAGGTAAGTAAGGGATAAGCGAAGTCACAATAATATCTGGGAAAAATATACAGGGAATCCAGGGCCCTTCTCCAATGCCCTACCTTAACTACGGATTTCATCTCTTGACTCTTTAGTCTCTAGGCTTTTTCTTTTAGTTTTGTAATAATGATGCAGAAAACATCATCACCATTTTTCCATCCTTGGTGTTCCATTCCACCCTCCACCCAACCCCAGTGCCACCATCTCCAACCCACCAAAGTGTCACATATTCAACATCATAACAGCCTACCTACCACAGTCACAGGGGTCGCAGCTGCAACCCCTGCAACCGTGGGTCACCACAACTTCAGGACCAGTGCTCTTTGTGTGAGCACTGCATGTGAGGTGAGGAGGGTTAATGAAGGCTGGATGGGGGGTGAGAGGGAATGAGGCAAATGAAGGGGTGAGAGAATGAATGAGGCAAATAGAGGGGCTGAGGGAATGGACAAATGGAGGGGTTGGGGGAGGAGCGGGGAAATGAGACACATGGAGTAGCTGAGGGGGAGAGAATGAAACTCGTGGAGGGGCTGGATGGGAGGAACGGAGACACATGAAAAGGCTGGGGGGAGTGAAGGAGACACATGGGGGGTGGGACACAGGGAGGAACTGGGGGGGAAATGAGAAGCATGGAGGGCCGGAGGAGGAAAATTAGAAACATGGGTGAGGGAATGAAACACATGTGGGGTGGGGGCTCTGGGACAATTTTTGCACCGGGGCCTGGTGGTTTCTAGTTACGCCTCTTGTTGCATTAACAAAAAAATAGCAAATATTCAAAAATGGCTATCCATCAGATTTAATAAATTGCGCCAAAAATAAGAAAATTATACGTAAAAGTGTAAGCAACACATTGATAGATCTCTCCTATTTAATAGAGTCTGCTCATGCCATGTTATTTGGGTTTAGGTTTTTTTTCTTCACTATAGAAATGTATCATGAAAATAGTTTCACATTTTCAAATAGGATATGTGTATAACCTTTATTTTAATTACTCTGTGTGTATACAGGAACAGGACGGGAAGAAAACCTGCATTGCCCACAATGCATTTGGTGGTGATGGTGTTTATGCAATTGCTCGGTGCTGTATATGGTCTAAAGCAAATTGCCATGTTAACATAAGTTCACCCAGTGAAGGAGACTCTGCTTCAACTGCAAGCTGTACAAATGAGGACCATATCTTAACAGGTATTCATTTTTGTTTTTATATAGAATTGTTCAGATGTTGTATCTGCGGTTGTTCGGAATCTACAATTCCCATGAGTCTTTGCCAAACATTGATGTGATTATTCGCTATATTTAATTTTTTTGCAAAATAAAGGCTAAATAAGCCGAGCTGTAACTAGGGCTGAGTTGTAAAATTTCTCCAGACCAGATATTTTAACCTTCATCTTTACCACTCAGATTTAATTTCATATAATTCAGAGTTTAGTAAATAATGCTATTAATATGTTTTTGGACGTCAGCATTTTATGGTTTCAAACAGGATATTTGGTAGCCTTCTCTGAGACTGTAAATATGCATGAAGTGTGGGCTTTAAAAAAAAAAAAAAAAATGTATTTTAGTAATTTTTGAGGTTATACATATGACACAGAATATATTCAGCAACAGAATGACAGTACATAGATGAAACAAGTGTTGCATAATGATACCCACTTTTTATATATCAACTCGTCATTTCAAGCAAAAAAATAATAGCGTAGACCAGATAAGCTGGGCTTCGGTATGTGCGCTTGTGCTACCGGAGAAACCACTCCCAAAACATGAATAATAGGCCAATAAGAAATGCTTGTACACATTGCTACTCCCCTAACCTATGGGGTAACGGAAATAGTGTGAACGTTTGCAAAGAAGTTGTCATTATAAGGTAGGGAGGCTATGTGTGAAGACTCTCATCAGCGTGTCCCCGAGGTTTTTCCCCCTCCAGGGACAAAAGGTACCACATTGACAACATCACAGGAGTGCATAGAAGAAGGTGTGAAGGAGCTTGGTGTGAGACTTGGTAGGCCTAGAAAGTGATCTCTTCTGCTGGACTTGTAGTCTTATATTGCTTGCTGTTATTGGTCACCAGGAGGGCTCGGGAAGCTGCCCAGCTGCATGTAAGACTTGATCTTTGATTTGACTTGATGATGGGCTACATGAACTTTCTCCGCCCCAAAGTAACTTTACTCAAATTGTTTTAGAAAGAGAGGGTAGTTGATTCAAACTTATATGGTGATTTCTCTTGCAATGTGGACATAAAGCAAATTTTATCAGTGAGCGTTTGGCATCTCAGGATAATGTCCCTAGAAGTACTAACTGATGCTTGAGGAGATGTAGAAATGATGTAGACCCCATCAAAGGTAATTTGCTTAGATTGTTTAGCAGGTAGCACAGAAGTGATAAGGTGTCTTATGTAACATGGCAGCTCCTCTGGGATAAGAGTATCTGCAACTCCTCTGATTTTGATATTCCTCCGTCCGCCTGTCCCTGTCATACAGGTAGTCCACATGATGTGATAGGGTGGTATGGGAAGCCTGTAATTTGTGTACAGATCCCCCAACACCATTAGTCCCTGTTTAATATCAAGAACACTTAGTTTCTGTACATTGGGTCCTCTTACAGTTGGTTAATGTCCTGCTTAGTAGCTGGAGTGTTATCTTACATCACCATTTATATTGTATATTTTGGTGTTGGAATGTTAGGGTCTTGGATTTATTTCTTTTGGTCATATTCTGTGAGGATCCACAGGTCTCAGAGTTTGATGGCATTGCAACCTTATGACGAGGCATTCCAAGGAATATTTGGCCGATATCTCGGGACTCTTATAGTGCAAAACTTAACAATTGTACTAAAATTCACAGAAACCCTTACTGTTCTTATAAAGCATTGATTATAGGAAAATCTCAGCAAAGTAATACATAGATGGTTTAACCATAGGGCAACAAAAGGTGGTCAGCTAGGGTCCAAACATAAGACAGGGCCCAGGCGTCATGAAGATATATGGTCAAGCTTGGCCCTTATTTACTATTAGTATAATAGAAGTGAAGAGAGCCTCCAAACCCATAGTTTACCTAGGGATTAGTGGGATCTTAAAGCAGCTCTGTTACTGTAAACTTTCTTTTCTTAAATCGATTCCTCTAATCCACCCTCTTTTCTTGATTTCTGATCTTCTTGCAAAATACCTAAAATAAAGTAGGGACTAGTCCTAACAACTCTCAAGGAAAGCTCCACTTCCTTTGTCAAGTTCCATTTTCTCATAATACTCACCAGCCCATCGTGTCCCTCCCCTGTATTCTCGCTACTCCACCTCAGTACGTGTGCCCAATACAAGCTCCTTTTGCTGCTGGGAATGCGTGGACAATGTAGCATTGCTCCAGCAGTGGCATGCGCAGCAATTACATTGGGAATGCGAAGTATGGGCAGATGGGAGCAAACTGGTAACATCACTGCTAGAAATCTCATAATGGCAGTGCTGAAATAATGCAATTTATTAAATTTCATTATTTTATAATACACTATTGTAAAGCGCATTAAAAAAAAGAATAGGTCAAATTTGGCATTGAGTGACTTTACTTTCTGTAAAAATACCTCAAAATTTAAAAAAATCATCAAATCATTGATCACTAAGCTTTTTGTCTGGCTGAGTGTCATGGGAATGTAGTTCAGAAACATCTACAGTGCCAAATTAATCTTTGGCACTACAGGCTGAGCAATGCATAGTGGGAACCGTAGTTAGTAATCACTTTAACCTGTTTCTTATTGTTTGACAGGCTGCAGCTCCCATTCATCATCTGGACATCACAGTGACTCTATAAGACCTGTACATAGCTCTGAAACAAAGGATCCCGTTTGTGAAGGGAAAAGTGAAGCGACTTCTCATGCCCTGTGCTGCCATGCGCCAAATATTGCATGCAAAGTGAAGGAATATGCTCCTGTGGGCTTTACAGACAAGGTAAGATTTCTACTATATATGTTTATTGGCACTCAGTGCTATTAAAGTGGACCTGTTATCGTGTTAAACACATTTACATATAGCAACTTCATGTTAGACTGGGTAGAGGATAAAGAGATATGCAAGTGGGGGTGCGGGCAGTTAGAGATCACAAAGGGACTTGATGGAGTGAGAGACACACAAAGGGGCTTTTGGGAGATAGAGACAGACAAAGGGGCTGGGGATGAAAGAGATACACAAAGGGACTTGGGGGAAAAACAAACAAAGGGGTTGGGGAAAAAAGACACACAAAAGGTCTGAGGGAAGTAAGAGGCACACAAATGAGCTAGGGGGGAAGTAATATACACACAAAGGGGTAGATGGGGGAGTAAGACACACACGGGCTGGGGGAGATAAGAAACAATGAGGGAGTAAGATACACAGGATAAAATAAATTAAAAGGGGTGTAAGACACACAATGGGGCAAAACAATACCCTAAAGGGTGTTTAGGACACAAATGAGGGATATGATACACTAAAGGTGGGTTGGGAGACACACCAGTGAAGATACATTTGGGATGGGTGGGTCAAAATGCATCTTTGTCTGTGTAGCCAAAAATCATTGCACCAGCCCTACACTTGGTCAGGGCTGGATTTACACATCAGTTGCCTGTAGGCACAAAATTCTAAGGCACCCCAAACTCTCTCACCCCAAATAAGCTTGAATAATGCCACTAGAATACATTTATTAACTGGACAGTGCAGGCCTAAAAACATATATTCATATTTGAGAACTATGTATAAATGTATGCATGTGCATATTTCCTCTCTGCTTGTAGTGTATTGTGATTGACTCTGAATGTATGCAACTGTGTAAATGCATTCAGGTTAAATATAATGTTAGAAATGGTTAGGGCAAAGGGAGATTTGAGGTTTGGGAGAGGTAAATTTCAGAAGTATATTACTTAGGATGTTTAGAAGATTAATATCTTGAGAGGGGTTAAAGTTGTAGCATAAAGGCTGTTTAAAGGAACACTATAGGCACCCAGACAACTTCAGCTTATTGAAGTGGTCTGGGTGCATTGACAAGGTCCCTTAGTTGGGTTTAAAGGAACACTGTAGAGTTAGGAATACAAAGCTGTATTCCTGTAGTGTAGTGAACCTTTAACCACTAGTCTCAGGATGTGAAAATAAAGCACACTTTGTGGCACAATAAATGAAAGTTGAAACTCACCGTAATGAGAGCATGCATGCTGCTTTCTAATTTGGATTCATGCGACAGATTGAATATTTCCATTTAAAAGCACACAACAAACCCTAGAAGGCCATAGAATGTTTTTTTGTGTGTGTGATGTTCTCTTACGTTATACTTCTTAGATTCACTTTAAAAAATGTGGACATAAAAAGGGGCTGTTAAGGCAAGCAGTGACACTATGATGTCACTGCATTGGAAAGGCTGTCTCATTATTATACTACTGTATATCCGGCATTACATCAGGAATACGAGGTTTAGGGTTAAATGTTATATAGGTTAAAGAAATTCTTGCCTTCAACGTGCTGTGGACTGTAACACCTCTAAATCTCAGCCAAACTTCTCAAATGACAGTTGACATTACCAATGGAATAGATCACGATGAAGATTTAAATTTCTTTTTGCAGGTAACGGTTTCATGCGATGAGGGCTGGACGCTGACTGGGTGCAATGCATTTTCCCGCAACACAAAGACCATGGGCGCCTACGCAGTTGACGACACCTGTGTTGTAATCAATCCAAAAGGTGGAAAAGGAGCTGCAGCAGTTGCGATCTGTTGTCAAAACAAACATATGGAGAACAATCATAATTCAAATTATAGGTGAATTGGCTCAAGACATTTTTGCTTCTGTTACATGTATTTTTTTTTTTTTATTACTCATTCACAATCCCTGAACTCTCTCAGGTAGAAGAATATTCTGTTTGCTTTCAAACCCAATTTATATTGGGTCCAAATATACAGAATTCTGCATATATTTTGTTTTTTGTCTTGTTTCTTGTATTTTTAGTTACAAAATATTGGTGTAGCTTAAAAATGCTCACGGCAGAACCCACAAAGTTGAATTTTTACCATGTCACAGTATTGTTTTATTACCCCCTGAGTTGTATGTGAGAATTGTGGAAAATAGGCTGAGCCCTTTCTTTGACATCATGGGTGCACTTCCCAGGACAAATATATACATGAATATGACCATATAGTATGAATACCGTAAGCCTATGTATGTCATATGCACTTGATGGTCAGACACTTGACTTGTTACAAGTGGTCATTTGGTAAATAAGACCCAAGGACAATATAATCTGACTACTCAACATGTGAGTTAACATATAGTGAAGATATATAACATCATTTTTTGTATGGTTTTATTTTGTACCTTAGATATATTTATTTGTGATTTATAGAAACATGTATTTGTACAACAGTCACATTTTCAGTAAAAGAAATACATCATGATGTGTATGTCGCACTGTGTGGTTCTTTCAATTGGGTAAAGGCATAAAGGTGAACATGTTTTGTTTGCATTGAAACATATGGAAATCCATTCAGTACACCTGTACAAATAATTTCTTAATTATATATATATATATATATATCTTCAGTATAGTCATGGCATGGCCATTTCAACCTGAATTTTATCATTAACTACAATTTGGTGTATATGGAATAAATCCCAATATATTAAACCCAATTCCTTGGATCATCTTTACAAAAAGACATATTCTTAGCACTTTGTATTATTCCCAATATAAACTTTGAACAATCCAAGCACCATAACTATAACCCGCTGTAGTGGTTCTGGTGCCCTCCCAGGGTAATTTTTCAAACAATTTAAACATTTAGGGGCTGGGGGGCACAAAGAGACACAGAGATGCTGGGGGAGACAGAGACAATGTGCTGGGGAAAAGAGACACACAGAGGGGCTGGAAAGGAAAGAAAGAGACACACAAAAGGGGCTGTTAGTAAAATAGACATAGAGGGCCTAGAGGGACAAAGACACCCAGAGAGGGGCTGTGGAGGAGACAAATACAAGACAAGGTTGGGGGGAAGAGACACACAAAGTGGCTGGGGGGAGACAGAGATACACAGAGGGGATGGGGGAGCAAAAAGACACGGGAGGGCTGGGGAAATGGGCAAAAGAGTCAGATATTGGCAGGGGGCCACCCAGAGAGGCTGGAACTCAGAGAGAGGCTAGGGGAGAAAGAGACAAGGTGATGTGTGGAAGAGAAGGGGATAAAGAGACACACACAAGGGGTTGGGGGAAGAAAGACTTAGATGGGGTGAGGAAAGGAGAAAAAGATGCACAAAAGTGGATGGGAGCGGGAAAGAGGCACACAAAGGAGCTGAGTGAAGTAAGAGACACACAAAGGAGCTGTGGTCAAAAGAGAGACACAAAGGGGCTGGGATAGTGGGGGATAAGAGATACTAAAGGGGGTAAGACATTCAAAATAGAGCATAAGAAATACAAAAAGGGATCAAAAATACAAGAGGGGGATCAAGGGACACACAGGTGATGATGCAGTTTTTTGGGGTTAACCGGGGTGGAGAATAGGCAGCAAAATGTATCCTCGCCTGTGTATCCAAAAATCCATGCACTGGCCCTGCCCAGGCATACCATTCTTTAAATATTGCTGTGGTTGATCATTGCGGCTGGGCAGCAGCCTTTGTTTGTGCAGCAAGATCTGTAGTTGTCCACAGCAAGTTCAGTGATTAGGCTGACTGGTGCACACAGTACAAGGAAGCAGCCTCCACAGGCAGCTCAGCCAAGCTACGGGTGTGATTGTGTAGTTGTATGTGTATTTGGGAGGATGTAGCTGTATGTGTCTGTATGTAATGGAGTAAGAATTTATGTGTGTCTGTGTGTACTGGGAGTACTGAATTGTACATTGCATTTGTATTGCATTGTGCAGTGACATATCACCTAAGAGACTTTGCATGAGGACGCCCAGCATGTTGAAAAACCCCATATGAAAACAATGATTCTGCTGTCACTCGCTGTGTCTGCGCATTAGGTTCCAGGATTGTGCTGTCAGCTGAGGAGTCTGATCCATGCGCTAAGGAACATTGGCGCAAGAATCAGGTATTTTAAGGATGCTTTTTAACCCTTTACATGGCTGGGGGGGGGGACCGGGGAGGGGATCACCAGGACACTGTAGTGTTATGAATACAGCTTTGTATTCTAGGCCCTCAACCAAAACAAACAGCTAAAGCTGCCTTCTTTATATGTTTATTACATATATTTTTTAAAATATAGGAGTTTCCCTTTAAGTGCCTTAGGCACCCAGCATGCATGATGTCATGTGGTAAATAGCATGCATGATGTCATGTGATGTCATAGTTGCTGGGGTTATATAATCTGCCTGCAGGGGCTGACTAGTCAGATGTGTTAATATCATCTTCAGAAGAGGGTCAACATCAGGAAGATGGCTTCCCAGAGAAGGCGCCGCCGCAGACGGATCGCTAGGTATCGGAAGAGAGTACCAGGAAAAGGTACTGATTCACAACTACTTATCCCAACCAAGCTAAAATATTTTCATTTTAATTTCTACAGAGGTGCTACTGCACTTCTCTAACTAAGTCCTTTTGGTATTTAATAGTAGTAAGCAATCGATGGGAGAAATCCAGAAATTTTTATCCTACATTTACAGATTTGATAACCAGTAAACCAAATCTGAAATAATTATAGAAAGCTTACTTTGCAGTTAAAGGGACACTATAAGTACCATAACAATGTTACCCTAATGGAGCTGTTTTGTTGTATATATCATGCCCCACTTGGACTCACTGCTCAATTCTTTGCCATTTAGGAGTTATATAATTTTGTTTATGAAGCCCTAGTTATACACTCCCATTAACAAAAAAGAAACACCATGAATTTTCTTTTATTTACTTCCCATATTGCACATTGTGTTTACACCTGCTCTGTTAATTGTATGCCAGAGCCAACAGCAGCCTCCTGTTTGTGATTAAAGTTCAATTATCAGGGGAGCAGATAAGAACCTCTGAAGTAAATACATCATGTTGTAAGAATTAACCATTTTTAATGTAAGCTGTGTTAGTCACTCCCAGGGGATAAACAGAATAAAGTAACTGCTAAATGTCCGAGAATAGAGCAGTGAGACTGGAGGGGCATGCTCTATACACCAAAACTACTTCATTAAGCTAAAGTTGTTTTGGTGCTTAGAATATTTCTTAAACAGACTGGTTATAGATTAGGTTACTGTCCCTTTAAATAGGTAAAATGTTAACTCCTTTATCTAATCTGTTGTCTTTTATATGTTTTTCAGGGAAACGTGTCCGCCATTACTACTATTACAGAGTACTTGGTTAGCTCGCTCCTGCTATGCTACAACCCATCAAGCAGCAGCTAAAATAAGAAAATAATGGAACAGTCTTGGATTAAGTAAAAAAAATGACATGCTAACAAGAATGCTTCGACGTATGAAAACACTGTTTGAATAGCATGGTAAACACTCTGTAGAAACTGTGTAGAGTGCAATTAAATAAACTTGGAAATTCACTTTGTAGTTTTCTGGCTTTTACTTTGATTTGAATAGGGGAGTGGGCACGGGGGCTGAGATGAATACATCTATTTATTACTAGAACTACAGTGTTCCTTTAAGTTGTCATGGTACCCAGAGTGTTCCAAGTTGTCATGATACCCAGAGTGTTCCTTTAACTTGTCATGGTACCAGGGCCGGACTGGGGATACAAAGCAGCCTTGGAAAAAAAATCTATGCCAGCCCCATAAGTCATTGCGCCATATATTGTCGCATGTAATATGTAAGGCTATGTCTTGCCACCCCAGATGATAGAGTTTGTGTATATATATATATATATATACAGTTGCAAGAAAAAGTATGTGAACCCTTTGTAATGATATGGATTTCTGCACAAATTGGTCATAAAATGTGATCTGATCATCATCTAAGTCACAACAATAGACAATCACAGTCTACTTAAACTAATAACACACAAAGAATGAAATGTTGCCATGTTTTTATTGAACACACCATGTAAACATTCACAGTGCAGGTGGAAAAGGTATGTGAACCCTTGGATTTAATAACTGGTTGAACCTCCTTTGGCAGCAATAACTTCAACCAAACGTTTCCTGTAGTTGCAGATCGTGAATGGGAATTCAGACTGTAATTGTCTATTGTTATGACTTAGATGATGATCAGATCACATTTTATGACCAATTTGTGCAGAAATCCATATATCAAATGTATATTGCTTTTTCTTGTATAAAATATTGGTCCTTTCAGAGTAAAACATTTAATTATACAGTAAGCATACTCACATGCAGACACAGACAATCTCACTGACACACACAAGCTCATTAATACACAGCCTCATAGACAAACAATCTCATTGATATACATACGCTCATTGACATAAAAACACAAGCTCACTCACTAGCAGGCACGCGCACACACACAGCTTAATGTAGTGGTTCTGGTGTTTATAGCCTGTCCCTGCAGGCTTTTCAATGTAAACACTGACTTTTCAGAGAAAAGGCAGTGTTTACATTGCTTCCTAGTGACAGACACTCAGTCGGTCACTAGAGGCGCTTCCTGTATCAGTGAGGATTGGCTGAGATCATCAAGCTTGTTGTCATAGAGGCAGGGCCAGTCGAGGGGAGACCAGCACGACGTTGGGGGAAAAAAAATAAGTGAGTTAAAAACACTTTTTAAAAACACACACACATACACCATGACACATACATATACCATGACAGACACACACACACACACCCCATGACACATACATATACCATGACAGACACACACACACACACCCCATGACACATACATATACCATGACAGACACACACTCCCCATGACACATACCATGACAGAGAGACACACACACACACACCATGACACACATATACCATGGCAGACACACCATGACACAGACCATGACACAGACACACACACACACCATGATGCAGACACACCGTGACACACACAGACACACAGACACACACAATGACACAGACAGACACACACACACCATGACTCCCTTTTAACATTAACACCCCCAATTATATTTTTAACATTGGGTGACACGCTTTCATATCTATTTCTTCTGAATTATTTTTATTGGTATTTTAATTAAAACATTACTTTATTAGCCTGTTGCCTGCCTTTTATATTATAAGATTTTGGTCAGTGGTATATTAGGAAAGACACTGGATACCCCTAAAGAGGGGAGCCAGTTAGAGTGTGTACCTGGGGCGTCCGGAATAGGGGATAACCCTTACTTATATGTACAACTGAAAAGAGAAAGAACTGACCAAAGGGGTCAGAGAAAGGAGAACCCCCCCTAATAGATTACCATATGTTTATGTGCAAATAAAACATAACCTTTAATAATTTCTGTATAAAAATACTAATCAGAAAGAATAAAAAAACATTAAAAATAAGTATGGATAGGTCAGGTTGGTAGCACTAAATGGGATGTGCAAGCTGATATAGATCTCACTTCCAAGGAATCCTGAAGTGAAAAAGACACACAAATCCCAATTAGGTGCTTATTATAATATATAGTACAGAGTAAAGGCAGCTAGTGAGAATATTGCTGTCTCTATAATGAATAGAAAGATCTCCTACCTAAGGTATCCCTCTCTCAGTAGATTATTAAAGAAAATGTTATTCAATAGAAAGTAGCAAATTGCTGCTACATTTAATGGAGAGTGGTTACATTAATAAGTAGCACTGAAGATTTGCTACAAGGTTGCTGAGTACTTAACTGAACAGGAGTGCAATATCGGTACTGCCTCTGCAGCTGTCAGAAGGCAACACCTTGGCTGGAGGTTGGGGAGGTAGAGACGAATCTAGTCTCCCCCACAAGGACAAAGCCAAACTTGTATATACACCCTCCCCAGTATACCAGCAAACTTGCCCAGTCCCAAAAGTACGGACTAACTGACTATCTACATCTAAATCAGCTCAAGATCCAGTACCGATATTGCACTATTTCATTATTCACTCCTGTTCACTCCTGTTCATATCTTGAGCCACTGTTTTTCCCCAGGTCGCCCACCCTACACAAGACCAATATGGACAAAAATTAAAATCGCTATTTGGGCAATCAGGATCAGTAGATCTTTTACTGGGACATAAATATTTATCATTAAACCCATAAGTTCGTTCCCATTTAAGATAACCACATACATTCCAAGGTTTTCCACTACCCGAGATCGCCTTACATGCATCAAATAGTAGAATGCCCGTAGCATGTATGGTATTTATCACAGTCCTATTTATCAAGGTCCCCTGGGAGTTACTGTTCCGAATTACCAACCAAATTGTACGGGGTTGGAATTGGGGATCAAAACATTTAGGATCTCCTGATAGTGGTTTGCATACACTGTAATCTATATCTAAATATCTACACTCCCCTACACTCATTCTGTGAGTGCCAAATGAGAGTTTGGGATATTTGGTTACCTGTTTTCATAGTCTTAATGCAGCTAACTCTGTATGTCTTCACCTTTACCTTCCTGAAAAATCACAAAAATGCCTAAACACATAATATAACATATTATTTTAGAAGTCCTCATTTCTAATCTTCGACCGTGCGACGGCACCTCCCTTCGAGACACTCTGGCTATGACATGTAGGTAGGTGGTCAGGCTTTATTATGGCCGTCAAAACACCTACTTGCTGATATCTGTTGTTACTTTCAACTAAGATGTTCTAATATCTCCTCGTATTATTTCTCACTCCGACTGAGTTACCCGCTTTAACTGGATCTTGCAAGGATTTTCAGGATCTGGAATAGCTTGCCAAGAAGCTGCTGCTGGTTTAACCCTAGAATGATGAATCCACTGAGTCACTTCTGCCACCTTTACAGCTGTTGGAGTAGATAAAAGAACAACATAAGGACCCCTCCACTTTGGACCTAATGGAACAATATTCCATTCTTTTATCCACACTTGATCTCCCGGTTGATAGGAATGAACAGTTGGATATATGTTCACAGGTAACCTATCTTGCACCCATTTCTGTACTTCCTCCATAGTTTTACTGCTGCCGAGTAATTCCTTCACCCAACTGATTCAAGTCCCCCCTTAGATTACTGATTATGGGAGGTGGACGCCCATACACGATTTCAAAGGGAGACAGACCCATTCTTCTGGTAGGAGTACTACGTATCCGCAACAGAGCTATTGGCAAAAGGACATTCCACTTGAGCTGAGTTTCCTGACACATTTTAGCCAATTGGGTTTTTGTTGTTCTGTTCATCCTTCCCACCTTTCCAGAACTCTGAGGTCTATATGCTGTATGAAGTTTCCACTTAATACCAAGCACATGAGTCAATTGTTGTAAACACTGATGGATAAAGGCTAGACTATTGTCTGATCCGATAGAACACGGAAGTCCATATCTGGGGATAACATCTCACAACAAAAATCGTACAACTTCTCCTGCCTTTTCTGTACGAGTTGGACAAGCTTCTACCCAGCCTGAGTAGGTACACACAGCTACCAAAAAATAACGATATCCCCCAGATTTAGGCATTACAGTATAGTCTATTTGCAAATCTGACATTGGGAGTCCTCCCATATATTGAACTCCAGGGGGTTTGACAGAGCCTTGTCTTGCATTGTTTCGAGCACGCAAAACACATCTTCGAACAATAGCTTGAGTAAGATTGGATAATCTTGGTATGTAGAAATGTTTCCTGAGAGATTCTTCCATACTATCACTTCCTGAATGTGTACCATTATGGAAGTTCTGAACAATCTCTATAGCCAGAGATGTCAGAATAACTATTCTTCCATCTTCTAGCTGATACCAATTATTCTCCAAGTATTTCCCAGCTTCAGTCTTTAACCACTCCATCTCTTGGGTTGTATATATCGGAGTCCATTGAGACAGAGGTGCCGGCACAAGGACAGCAACATACCCCACATATTCCTCTTGCCCGGATTCAGCGGCATGTTTTGCTGCACTATCAGTCATGCGATTTCCTTTTACTACACACTATCACCTTTCAGATGTGCCCTGCAATGTATAATACCGACTTCCTTCGGTTCCCATACCGCCTCTAATAGTTGGAGTATTTCTGCTGCATACTTGATTTCTTTCCCTTCTGAATTCAACAATCCCCTTTCTTTATACAATGCTCCATGAGCATGGGTGGTTAGGAAAGCATATTTTGAATCTGTGTAAATATTCACTCTCAACCCTTCAGCTAATTGCAAGGCCCTTGTTAATGCAATCAGTCCCGCCTTCTGTGCTGATGTCCCTTTCGACAGTGGCCGTGCTTCTATCACCTTGTCGATGGTTGTTACCGCATACCCTGCATACCGTATACCTTCTATACCTTCTTTCACATAACTACTACCAGCCATATAATACTATATGTCCGGATTCTGGATGGGGAAATCATGAAGATCAGACCTGCTTGAAAACACTTCATCCATTATCTCCAAACAATCATGTTGACTTTCAGTAGTCTGGGGCAGAAGAGTAGCTGGATT